TTTGATTTTATATCAGAGTCTGAAACTTGTTTTAATACTGGATATTATTAAATTCTATTTTTAATGTATGAATGACTTATGAACTTGCATTTATGCTTATAAATTGTTTTACGGTTTAAATGGTTTAACAAAAAAATTTCTTTCCTATATTTTTATTGTGGATCGTTGCGATGGTCCTAATGTGACAACTCGGATTGGATCGGGTTACCCATATCGGTTTGAGAGTGTTACATGCACTTTATGGATACATTCACACAAGTCATCAATTAAAGTGCTAAGTGAATAATATATCATGTGGGTAGCGATAATGCTTGATGCCTTATACGTCAGAAAATATTAAAAGACTCATACATGTCTTGATAAAAATATATACAATGGTAGCACCCTTACATGAAATTTTATCAAGACATGTATGACATTGGTTCCCCCTTTCATGTCTAGTACCTGATTACTATTTTTACATCGGGTGCTACCATTGTATATATGTATGTGATTGATGGATGAATTGTATGCTACTGAGGCTAGATATCAAAATAAGTTCATGGTTAGGTCCTTAGTTGTGGACTAGGGAAAGCATAAGACTATTATTATCGTGCAAGAAGGTTTGATAAATCTTAAGCATTTAATTCATTAGATTTATGGATCATGCATGTATTCTCTGTTTATTTCTTATTATGCTAGCACATTTATGTTTTTGGAAAATTCATGATGTATACATTAGATTTGTGATATACTAATGAGCTTTATAAAGCTCAACGTTTATATGTTTTCATTCAGATGTTTTCATTCGTAGGTTAGTAGTTTGAGCTTATTCATGATGTATATTATTACTTTTAGTGGGCATGTATATTCATAGAACCATTATCAATGTGTTTAGACTATAAACTCTGAGATTTGTATTGTTTTGTTTTAAACTAAAGTGTCACATAGCTCGGATTGTATAAATATGTTAATATTGTTATGAATATTGTGTTTTGATAAGCCATATTGTGATTTGAAGTGGAAAAGAGAAGATTTTAAATTTGGTGGCTGCTTCAGCAGCCCAATGAGGCATCTCCAACCAATCTATTACTGATCAAAGTTAGGGTTACAAGGTCATCCGAGCAGTCTCTCCAATGTTGACGTGACTTACCGGAAAAATAAAAGAAATGAAAAATAATGGGCCAAAACATAAAAGATTGTATGAAATATATTTAAAAAAGCGCACGAAATGTGTCAAAGACACGTATTTTCATGACTACGAGCACGATCTAGACAACGGTGATGACGACGTGCATATATAAGCCTTATCTTCAATCACTCAATAAATTCATGTTTAAAAGACTATGGCTATCATAATAATACGAGTCTGATCAAGTTTAAGAATTATTTTTGACAACTCAAAAACAAGTTTTTGACATGATTTTCTCAAATCTCACATTGTTTATAAATAGTTTTTTTAAATATTTAAATATAGTATTATAAACATGCATTTATGATACGTCCAATTACGTAACAACATTGAGTGCAAGCATACACCATTGTATCAAGTAATAAAGTGAATTCAATTTAATGTATCGAGTTTTTGTATCCAACAAAGACTAGTACTACTTTTAGAATTGTCATAGCATTAACTAACCTAAATAACAACAGTGTTATATCTGTATACCCATCAAAGTAAGTTTACTAAGTATGCTATGACAATCAGTCAGTTAGATCTCTCTACACTAAAGTGATACCCTCATAGTATTTCATTCTCCTATAATGATATTCACCTCTCAATGCAGTGATTGGACAATAACATTATACAAACATACATTTCATCAAACCAATGTAAAACATAGTATCCAAGGTTTAACATCCCACATAAAAATAAAAGTATTCAACTAAGCAAAATAAAATCCCCTTATCGGGTTCAACTCCTAATCGCCAAGTTGATGCTCAACCGATCGATGGCCACCACCCTATCGGGCGCAATCGCCTTCCACATCCGAGTGTTGCTCCTCCCCAAATAATCTAAGCTTACATGGCCAGCGGAATAAGTAAGATGAAGACAATAAAAATCAAAAGATGAAATGTATATATTTTCCATTTTAGCTTACCCATATTTATAGCCTTCAACGATCAAACTAGCACCCCATATGATTTTTTTTCTTCATTTTCTTGATTTTCAGTATTTTTATAATAGAATTGGGATAGTTGTCCCTTCTAGCCTTTCTATTTTATCTTCTACTGATTCATCGATGCGTCATGGACTGACAACAAAGACATTGGATGCAAAGTAAATCTACCTCTCGTTGCTTGACAACATCAAAGAACACACAACATCATGATAACTCATTACGAAGCAATATCGTAGCAAAAGAAATCAAATTAAGCGTAAATTTTACCCACTTCCATAATTCATATGATACAATTTATACTAAAATACTTTAAACATGATCTTGGAATGCTAAAGATTTTAAACATAATCTAAAGTACAAACATAAACACAAGTAAAAGATTTTAAATAATAACTCTTTTTTGAAAGTTGTCAATTCATTTAGTAATTGAAGACAATACCTAAACATGAACGTCATTGTTGTCGTCCAATTGACTTGTAGTTGCGTTTGTACAAATACATGTATTAAATACATACTGCGTATGTTGTTTCTTTTTTAACAAAATTCTTATAGTTTTTTTTACATTTTGACATATTATTCTTTATTTCTTTTATCTTGACCCTACGTTACATCAACATTGCAGAAACCATCTGTATGAGCTGCCACGTAGGCTAAGACATATCCTCTAAAACAAGTATTTTAAAAGGTGCTTACATATAGACACGACTTTGTTAAAAGAATACCTTTTTAACTGATATTAGGGTTGTTCAACTGATTAATTCGATCACCGACCGAACTAAATTAACCATAACCGAATTAACCGAAACTTTTTTCTTTAACCGTTAACCGAACCAAAATTTATTTGAAAGTTATTAAACGAACCGAACAAATTTCAGTTAATTAGGTCAATTTTTGAATTAACCAATTTTTTTTTAATTTTCTAATTTATATAACAATTAATTTTTTTAATTAAAAAAACAGTTTACAATTAATTTAAATAATATCTAATTATAAAATAAAAAATTTAAAATTTATTCGAACATTATATTAAAATAAGATAATTGTATCTATCAATTTAGTTCAAGAAAACCAACTAATTTGAAATTCTACAAAATAAATGGAGCATGGTGCATGATGGTTGTGCTAAAGAAAAGCGCTAAGCTGTTGATTGTTGTTTCTCTACCAAGTTTCAACAATTCATATCTTAAGAGACCATATTACCTGCACAACATAGAAATAAAGAAATGCAAAATTCAGTTCAAACCAACAAAAATAATAAAAACAATCAAATGTATAAATATCAAATATATCTATGAAGTATCAACCAATGCTAAAATTATAAGTGCTAACTCAATCTTATGTAATACAATCTTATTCATATCTGAATGTACTAAACATCATCAGAGTTGTGCTAACAACGCACATATATTTTTTTTAAATAATTTGTCTACTCTATTCAAGTAATACATAAAAGGCAATAAATGAAATAGTATTATTCCAGCTAATGAAATTAAAAGGAATGTAAGGAAGAAGTTACCAAAAAAAAAACACAATATAATAGTATTCCAAATACTCCATTTTCACCAATTGAATCATCCAAAAAAATTTCCATTTGCATTATCTCTACAAGAAAGAGATATTATTTTAAAACTAAAAATACAACAGAAAAAATCATATATATAAACTAAAAAGTACATTGCAATTTACAAGTATCTATTAAGAAACAATTGCATACCCTTCAACTCATACTCACAGTGCAGAAGCTTATAAGCTCATGAATTGAGGGTAGGTTGTAATGCATTCTAAGATAAATCTAAAAGTTCAAATGATTAAATCAATTAAAGGTGTGTCAATTCTCTTCAAAATAAATTCATTTATTAAATTAAAATTAATAAATAAAGAATCAACATACCATTATCAATCTTGTCAAGCTCTTGAATTTGTTCTTCAATCTTCTTGATCTTCTCTTCGGTTGATGAATTTTTAATATAATCTTGAGTACACACAAGAGCTTGCACCATTTTAGGAGTTAAAGAACTCCTAACTTGATCAAGCACACGTCCACCGGTACTAAATGCAGACTCTGAAGTGGCAGTAGAAAGTGGTATAGCAAATACATCTTTGGCCATATTTGACAGAACTGGAAATCTAGGGCTATTGATTTTCCACCATGACAAGATATCAAATTCATCATCATAATTCTCAACAGCCTCCCTTAGATATTTATCTAATTCAGATGTTTGATCCTCACCACCAGTTTCAATCACACGCCTTTTATACAAATTTTTCATGTGTCTTTTCACTTTTTGTTGTGGTTCACTTAAAGAAATTCTCACATTTAATTGGTTACCATCACTAGAGACTCGAGGCTTATACTCATCATACAATTCATTCAAAGTCTCTTTCAGCTTTTGCAATACTTCAAAAACTTTTTCAAAATCATACATCTCACTAAGTGCAAATTCAAGATAACTTAATTTCTACCTAGGATCTAAAACACATCCAACAAAAACAAGCATATTCATCTTCTCAATATCACCCCAATATTTTTCATATTTATCTTTCATCCTCATGGCCATAACACTAAATTCAACATCAGCACTTAATTGAGCATCCCTTAAAAGTATACTAATTTTAGTAAGTTTATCAAAAAAATTGTTAGATGTGACATATGAAGTTCCTGAAACTCGCAAAGTGACTTCATAAAAATGTTCCAAGAAATCCCTCAAGTTTCTAACACTAGTCCAATCATTTATAGTTGGCCAGCCCTCTCCTAACTCGAGTTCAACCCTAAAATTTGTATCCTGCTCCTCAAATCTCTCAAAAGCTCTCTCAAAAATTTGAGCAGTGTCTAACATTAAATAAGTAGAGTTCTACCTAGTACAAACATCAAGACAAAATTTTTTTTGCTCTCAATTGTTTCCATCTCAACACAGTCCATGAACTTTTTTAATCTAGCTGGAGATTGTCTCACATATTTCACAGCCCCCCTAACACGTGCAATAGATTTGTTCATTTCCTTTAAACCTTCAACAACAATCAAATTCACAATATGTGCAATACATATTATATGAAGATATTTACCATTTGCAATGCAACCCCCTCAAGGACTAAATCTCTTTCTTAAATAAGCAATAGCAATATCATTCGAAGTTGCATTATCAACAGTGACAGTAAACAACTTATCAATCCCCCAATCTAATAAGCATTTCTCAATCATAATCCCAATTGCATCTCCCTTATGACTAGAAATTGGATAAAACTTATGATTTTCTTATTCAATTTCCAATCGTTATCAATAAAGTGCACAATGAGACACATATAATTAACTCTTTGCATAGAGGTCCATGTATCAATAGTTAAACAAACTCTAGAACATGAACTTCTTAAATATTGTTTCAGCTTACTCCTTTCATCCAAGTACAACTGATAAATATCTCTAGTTATAGTCCATCTTGAAGGAATACGAAACTTGGGGCATGCTACAAACATAAATTTTCTAAATCCTTCACTCTCAACAAACTTGAAAGGCAATTCATCAATCACAATCATTTGGGCTAAAACTTTTCTAATTGTTTCTTGATCAAATTTCTAAGTTGTAAGATGTCCTACTTCCCCTCCAAGACCCTTACTAGGTAACACTAAATTGCCTTGATTAGTGTCAATGTTGTTAGGATTTTTCTTACACTGTTTCATGTGATATATCAATGACCTAGTTCCATTTCTTTCCAATCACAACGAAATTCTTTATCACAATGATTGCATCTACCCTTACTTTCACCCTCACTATTAACAAACTTAGTAAAATGACACCATACTTCTGACATTAAAGGAATAGCTTTTCGTTTACTTGTAGTCCCTCTTGTGTTGTTGATTTGACTTTAAGCTTCAGTCGTTGAATTTGATAAAGGGGGTGAAACATTGCCCTCAACAGATGCTGCCATATTGGACATCTACAGCAAAATAAATTGATAAAAATTAATATTGAACCTAAATATAATAAATTATTCAAATTATGTATGATGGCAAGATTAGACTTACAATTTGCTTAATCACTAGCAACTACATAGCATTATGTTAAACCTTTTCTTCGTTTCAATCCAAACAATTAAACATATTACATTAACATCGCATGGACAGATGATGCAACAATAAATCTTAAGTGCATTAAACTAAATAGAAATAGGAGACTATAAAGAATATTATAGTTCAAAATGATCATAGACAGATGATGCAACAATAAAAGCCAGTGAAGTTCACAAATAAGGCATGTATCACCAATATGGTTGAGTTAGTTAAGCATGATCTTTGGTTTTAAAGCAATAAAAGTTTCTTCTTCAAATTCACTGAAAGAAAATGGTTTTATGACATGCAAAAGTGAGTCGAAACGGATTATTGACAACAAGATAAATGTAAGATGCCAAAGAAATCGTACACCAAATCACTCCATGTTTATCAAATGACTTGTATTACTAATTCCAGCAAATACATTTTTGCGGAACAGGTCCAAAGGTGATAGAATTAGCATTGTTTTCCCTTCTATAAGAACATAATTTGCAAACGTATCTCGGTTCAACCCTCTACACTTCTTACCATTTACACATATGAGTCAAAAAGTTTTTGTTTTTCCCAAGATGGTACCTTTAATTCCATGTCCAAGCATACGTCAAACACTTTAGAACTAAGTAACACAATCATGTACTTAAAAATGAAAGTTTATTAGCTTAACATTGATGACCTCAAATACTTTTGTTCATCAATTTCATTTAAGAGAGAATTATTCTTGTGTGTGTATTCTACTCAAATCCACTCTATGAAACAAGCTAAGCCAGTAATATTCCTCTAAAAAATGTTAAATCTTAATAAAGACAACCCTGTAATGGCTTACTAAAGTAAAGAAACTCTGCATTGAATTAATATCAAATGACATGTTTTCCCAATTTTGAGATACTAGATTCATAAACCCTACTGAAAATGAACCTATTCGAAAAGGAAATTATAAACAGTGTAAGGTTTTTATATCAAACTGGTTTAACGGAGAATTGTATATAGAATAAACTTTATATTGGAAACACTCTTAGTAAAGGTCATCCAATTTCTCCACATTTTAGTTTTTTTAACGTATAATTCAAACTCAAAACTGAAACCCTAGTCCTCAAAGCATAAACATTTATCCTAAATATTTTCATAGAACCAAAAAACAGAGAAATATTTTAGTGTTTACCAAGCATATTATTTAAGAAAATATAAAAAAAGCTCTAACCTTTGCAAAATCAATGAAGAACTGAAGAGGTTAACTGCTACAAGCTTTGAAAAAATTTGTCCTCCAACGTGAGATGAAAGTGAAACTTATACAGGTTACAGGTAGAGTAGTAGAGAAAGTGAAAACGGCGTGAGATGAGATTGAAAGGTTTAGGTTTCAGGCGTAACCCGTAAGCATTTAGTTTTGAGATCTTTTAATTAATTAATATTGATTTAGGTTTTAAATTGATTGTAAATGTATTAGACCGGCTGAGTTTATATGTATTATATTTAATATTTAAAATTTAATTTTGATTAATTAATTGATTTCGAATGAAATTAATCGTTAATCGAATTTTAAAAAAAATTTATTAATTATTTTCTGACTGAACTAATTCGATTCAGTCGATTAATTCTATTAAAACTGAAAAAATAAACATCCCTAACTGATATTATTATTTAGATATCATTTCAATAAGAAAATATTAAAAAATGAATTATACAATAAAAATACCTAAAAAATGCTTTTGAGATTGAAGGTAAAAATAAAAAAAAAATTATGCATGAAAATTAAGAAGAAAAAAATTATTTTTGTGTGTTAAGCGTTGAATTTTCTTCAAGATTCCTTTCTTTCATTCTCTCTCTTCACATGTTTACATTTTTATTTTTCAAAAGACAGACCCCATATGTTGGCGAAATTGAGTCTCTCTCTCTCTCTCTCTCCCTCCCTCTCTCTCTCTCTCTCTCTCTCTCTCCCTCCCTCTCTCTCTCTCTCTCTCTCTCTCTCCCTCTCTCTCCCTCTCTCTCTCTCCATTAAATTTCTAGCTGTCTTCCCATTCCTATATTTGGTTCTCTGCCTCCCTCTCTTTCTATCTCTAAACCTGTGTTTTTCTTCATTTCATTCTATAATGTGGGTGGTGTTGTTCCTTGTAATGGGTGCCTGAGAGAGAGAGAGGAGAGAGGCGGGAAGTTGAGGTTTGCGTAATGAGGTTTGAAGAGAGAGAGCTATATTGAAGTGGGTTTTTCTCGTCTTGCATCGGAAGCTTTAAACTATGTGTGTTGTTGGGGTTGGGAAGTAAATGGATACCAAAGGAAGACTTGTTGCTGGTTCTCACAACAGGAATGAGTTCGTTCTCATCAATGCTGATGAGATTGCAAGAGTAAGTACCTTCAAGGTTTATTGCTTCTTTTAGATTTTCCTTACTGGTAATATCAATGTGTTCTTTTTGGAGCTTCTTTAGTGTTCTAAGCGCTTTTTTTTGGACCCCCCATATTTTGGATTTGGGATAGGCTTTTTACATTTTTTTTAGTTCTCGTTGGTGGATTAGTAGAGAAATTTTTACCCATGCCTCCATGGCTGTTCTCTTCAGATAGAGTATCACATTCCTGGAAAATTTCCTCTCTTGTGGTGTGTTCTTTTTAATTTTAAATTCTTGGAGTATAGTGTTTACATACAGCCTAGATTCAACTAAACTGAATTTCATCAACAATCCCTTATTATCCCAATTTAGTAATTTATTTTATACTTCGTAGATCTCAGAGCTGCTAGATGCATCCAATTTAGGCAGTCTTTTGTCTAGATTCAACTGTAGTTTTTAGTCTTTTGTCTGGTGTTGTGAAAAGCATCATTAGTGATCTAGTGGCGATTGACATTGTAAGTTCTGTAATGGTGACTTGCAGGTGACATCTGTTAGAGAACTATGTGGGCAGATTTGCCAGATCTGTGGATATGAGATAGAGTTTTCAATTGACAGGGAACCATTTGTTGCCTGCAATGAGTGTGCATTCCCAGTATGCAGACCTTGCTATGAATATGAAAGAAGAGAGGGTAATCAAGCATGCCCTCAATGCAAAACTAGATACAAGCGCATTAAAGGTGAGCCTTGATAAGTTGATCTTTTAGTAAAAACTGAATATCCCTCGGTGGCAATAGTTTTAGCTAACAATGTGACGTATTCCAGGTTCCCCTCTTGTGGAAGGGGATGATGAAGAGGATGGTGCTGATGATTTGGAGAATGAGTTTGATATCGCTAGCCAGGATAGGAGAGATCCTCACAATATTGCTGCTGCCATACCCTCTGCCCGACTCAATACCAGTCGTGGTTCCCAACCTCATGTTTTGGGGATAAGCACCCCAGCAGAGTTTGGTGCTGCTTCTGTTGCTACAGAGATCCCTCTTTTGTCATATGGCGAAGAGGTGAATGTTTTGGTAGTCAAGTTTTGTTCGTTTAAGTATGTATTTCATTTGTGGCTGACATTTCTAATTGATTATTATAATGAAGGATGCTGGGATTTCCTCTGATAAGTATGCTCCCATCATTCCTCCCTTTATGAGTTGTGGAAAACGTGTCCATCCAATGCCAGTTCCCGATCCTTCCATGACTTGTAAGTTAGTCCATTTGTTGGTAGCAATGTATAAGAACTTGCAATTTAACTACAAATGATTCTTTGCAAAATTCTGAACTTGTTAGTTGTTGTCAGATTATTTTTCATAATTCTGAGTCATTTCACATGCACATTTTGTTTCTTTAATAGCCGCATAATGTAGTTTTGTTGTCGATATCACAGTGCCACCCAGACCCATGGATCCTAAGAAAGATTTGGGAAATTATGGGTATGGAACTGTTGCATGGAAGGAAAGAATGGAGGATTGGAAGAAAAAACATAATGAAAAACTTCAGGTGGTTAAGCATGAAGGATGTAACAGAGATGAGTTTGAGGATCCTGATTTGCCAGTGTAGGTGCATTTTACCACTCTGAATTTCGTAACTGCTGTCTCTGGCATGTTAAGTCATAGAAGCTTGTTCCTGCAATTGTTTTTGTTACTAGATTCTTCTTTCTTCTTTGGGTTAAAGGAACATAAAAATTGTCAATTGATTGCATTATCTTTTTTGCGGTGGCTTAAGAGTTTGTATCCTCCTTGCATATATGTTACCATCATGTTGTGGGAAATGCCTGCATCATTCTTTTGTGTTGGAGAAGTTATGCAAACTTGCGTCTGAGTCTCTGCTTCAAACACAATAGTAATTCATATCAGTTTCAGTTGCCAAATATACTCTAGGCTAAAAGTAACTACATTTTCTTATGCTTCCCTTTTTGCACTCATCAATTATTTCAACTGAAACAGTAAAAATTGTTTTATTGTAGGATGGATGAAGGCAGACAGTCACTTTCAAGGAAACTACCAATCCCATCTAGCAAGATAAATCCATACAGATTATATCCTACTCCGGCTTGTGATCTTGGAATTGTTTTTCCACTAGAATTTTGCATCCTGTAAACGATGCTTTTGTTCTGTGCCTTCTTTCAGTCATATGTGAAATATGGTTTGGTGTATCATGGATATTAGATCAGTTCCTGAAATGGCACCCAATTGAACGAGAAACATACCTTGATCGTTTATCATTGAGGTGACTTTATCTTCCTTTCTCCTCTTCCCTTCTGCACTCTCTCTTTGCATCTCAATCCATCTTTATTCTGTTCTGACAATAAACTTGTGTGCATGGCAGATAGAGAATTCTGTTTTAGTTATTATTTTATATTTATATTATTAGTTTTTCTTTTCCCTTTCTTCCTCAGATACGAGAAAGAAGGGAAGCCATCTAAACTAGCTTCTGTAGACGTATTTGTGAGTACAGTTGATCCCACGAAAGAGCCACTGCTTATCACTGCAAATACGGTTCTTTATATCCTTGCTGTAGATTATTCAGTTGATAAAGTAGCTTGATATGTCTCTGATGATGGTGCTGCCATGCTCACGTTTGAGGCTCTGTCTGAGACATGAATTCGCAAGAAAGTAGGTACCATTTTGTAAGAAATTCAGCATTGAACCCCGGGCTCCAGAGTGGTATTTTGCTCAGAAAGTTGACTATTTTGAGAGATAAAGTATATCCAGCATTCGTTAGGGAACGCCGTACCATGAAGGTTTGTAACGTTTCTCCTGACTACAATAAGTTTACTGTTTCCATTTTTTGCCTTTGTGTAGCCTTCCTAGCACCTAAATGCTATATGAAAGAATCAATTGTAGACCAAGAAATTGCATAACTTAAGCATAAATTTTAGCAGACGAAGAGGTTGTTTATTTGCATTTGACAAAGTAAATTCTTTTTTTTTTTGTTGAAGTATTGACAAAGTAAATTCATTGCTTTTATTTATGGTATTTTGTTCACTAAATAGATTTCTCCATTGATTTCAAGAAATGATGGATCATATTTCATGCTGCTAATTGTTACAGTCGGAGGAGATGAGCGTGAAGAGAACGAAGGAATTGGGGAAAGAAGAAGTCTAGGGTTAGGGATTGAAGATGGAGAATTAGGGATCGAGGCACGAGAGGGGATTGAGAGGGGAATTAGGGATTAAAGTAAAAGAAGAGGGAATGATGTATTTACCCTCTGAAGTGGAGCAACCTATGTACCCGGTTCATGAAGCATTGGATCCGCCTGAGTCTCAAGTCCATGAAGAGTTGGAGCAGCCCAAGTTCGATGGCCCAGTAACCTGAAAAGAGAAAGATGAGATTAGTCTGTTATAATTGTTAGAGATGTACTGCCAGCTGACATATTTTGCAATTTACGTTTTTAGCCCTGTAACTAAATAATACTGGCTGAGAGGCATTTGATTCCTCAAATTATGAATGAAGCATTTCCTTTCTTTTGAATTCTCTACTTCTCTACTTCTCTACTTTCTTTTTCTCGAATCATTTTTATTTCTCTTAAACAATAACCAATTGGTATCGAGAGCCTCGATTTCTGGCAAAATCAGTGGGCATGACAAAGAAGAATCAGAGTATGGAAGTTGATTTATTTGGTTTGCAAAAACAGATGGAGGAACTAACAGCTCTGATGAAACAAGGTCAAGATGAGACTAATCCACCTAAATGGTGACAGACTCAGGAAAACATGATTACTACACTGGAGTCTAGAATGGTTACGAATCAAGGATATGTTGAGGAACTCTTGAAGATTTTGACTGGTAGAAAGGAAGACCAAAACCAGTATGTTGATGACTAGGTACAGACCTCTAATTCATCTACTATGAGTGGTAAACAACCTGTTAAGGTGACAGTGATTAATGATAAAACTCGGTTTACTTATAAACCTTATAAACCTGGAATTCTTAAGTCTAAACCAGATGATTTTTCCTGTTCATCTTGCTAGCTTTAAAAATGACAACCAAATGGG